TGAAGTACTGTTAATACTGATATGACATTTATTTTTACTTAGTTTAAAATGTGGAAGCAGAAAAGCTTCTCATCAAAATATTTACTTATTAAGCAATTTGGTGAGTTTCCGATACTTCATGTATCACCTCCCAAAGGTTGTCAAAGACTGGGAAAATTAAACTATTTGGAGGTAAGTAGTTATCTAAGCACTATGTTCCACTTGGCTGATCTGAGGTAAAAAATAATTTAAATCGTATTTCCAGAAACCATGACTACTCCTTAAGATAAGCCCTTCTTAAGGAAAGTTGGCTAAGATGCCTTGATTCTTTTTGTTTCTAAATTTCATTTTGCCATAGACCAGATGTAATAAGTCATAACATTTCTTGGAGCAGGATGGTGATGGCATGTGGCACAGTATGGAAGGGGACATAGTGGTACACCAGAAACGGACTCATTTCCTTTGAAAGAAAAAAAAAATATTAGCAAACACTTAGCTAGTACTTAGTATATACCAGGTACTGGTCTAAGTAAATTATATATCAATAAAACTTTATTCTTTATATATTAAAGATTTTAATATATATTAAATGCATATATATACATATATACATAAATATATATATACATATATATATATATATATATGTATACTTTAAAACCCTCATTTCTCACAATAACCTCATCAGGTAGGTCCCATTATTGGTCCTCATTTTACAGGTAAGAAAACTGAGACACACTACCAGTAAGTAACCAGTCCAAGGACACACAGGACAGACTGGCTTCAGCATCTGTGCCCTTAACCACAATATTGTTACTGTGCTTCTCACAGTATCAAAACTGTCAGTAGACAGGATTTACAATATACTATTTACAGAGTTTGGAAGATTTAACAATATAATGAAAATTACAGGATGTTCCTTCATGGTTTGGTTATATAAACTTGGTCGAGGAGTGGGGAGTGAAGTGATGGGAGTACTGAGATCTTAGAATTTACTATGAAATATAAGCTCAGGGTGATTTAAGCTATTGATGTCTATTTCAGATTGCAATGGGCTAACAGTTGGATTGTACAAAAATCTAACAATCATTCCGAAAGAAAATGACAAGGGGTAAAGATCAAACTAATTTAGTGTGACATAAAATAAATGCATCCGTTTTATTGTTGCACTTACAGCCAATTGTTACATAAGGTGTTATTTTAAATAGATGGATAAAAATTGCCATTTGTTATGGTTTACATTCACATCCAAAGCAAAACCACCAGAGGTGGTTTGAACCAGATTAAAACCTTTTGAAACAAAATCATGCTAGCAAAAGCAGCCTCTCCCGTGTGGTTATAGAGAGAGTAGAGATATAAATGAGGACCGAGTCAACACAAATTACTGTTTCACATGTGACTTTCTAATCTGGAGAATAAGTGAACGCATTTGATTTGTGTGTGAAAACTGGAAAGACAGAAAGGGTGGTGGAAACAGGGCTGCCTGTTTCCCTCTCAAATGGCCTCAGGGTGACTCATTTTCATAGAGGCCAAGAAGCCTTCCCTTCCACATTTAATTAATAACTGAACACCCAAAATGGGTGTTCAGTTCATGGCCAACAGCTATCTGGCCCTGTTTAGCCAAGAAGAAGGAAGGGCATTCCTTGTTTCCCCTAATTACTCTTTGATAAAGGAGACGTATCACCAAATTTAACAGCACCTTTACATATACCTCAAACTCTTTATAAACCAAGGAAAGGTGTCAATCTACCAAATGGAAATCAATAATTACCTATTTATTCCTCATACATGATCCTTATTTTTCCTTAGTCCTATCCACTGTCATTGTTTCATTCAAACTCCCTGCCAAATGACTAATTTTTGTTCCTCACAAGGCTCTATGCCCAGCAAGAAATAGCATACAGTTAAATAGCAAAATCATTAAACTGAAAAAGTGAATGGAATAAATCCTAACATGTTCCCCACTTAATGGGTACTGGATAAATGATTTCACAAGCTAAAAGATACCTTTCACTACTCAGTGAGACACTGTCAGCTTGAACACTTTTTTCTTTCTCCAAATGCCCAATATATCATTTTTTGAGAAACTATACTTTCAAATTTGGCTACATACAGAAATAAAAATCTCAAAATTCCAATTGCAACAACTCCTGTAACTGTGCCCATATCCAGAACTTTAGATATGTGCTTTAGAACCATAAGGAACCTACTCCAGAGTATTTCCATGATAGAATTTTAACACTGCCTTGTAAGGTATTAACAGTTCCACAAGAATTGACTTTCAACTTCATAGGAATCTAGGGATGAGCTCATTTACTTACGTAAAATCACAAGTCCTCTCCCTAAGGGAAAACAGAAAGCCATCTAGGGCAGGCAGGACTCAGAGCACAGTGCTCATTCCTCACACCTAAAAACATCCTCGCCATTTGACCTTTCTGCTTTCCACCAGAGGCCTGTTCCCCGCAAACAACTCTCAGGGACCACTGCCTTCTCCACTAACTGAACATATTTCTAAGGATAGCCCCAGCACTATTTGGTTTTAAATCTTTCCTCTGCTCAGAGCTTGCACTCTCAAGGCAAGGCTTTCTCCTAGGAGTTTGTATCTGTTGTTGTCAAATAAAGCACATGGTACTTTTCTCATCAGGCTGCCAATACAGAGTATACATAAGCTAAACACTTTTTGGAGCTGAAATTTAAAGTAACTTAAAAGATTTCCATGCCAATATAAACACTTGTAAATGATAAAAATAACATGAAAAATTCGCATGAAGTTTTAGGATAACTTTGAAAGCTTACACTAGGCTCTTAGCTAAAACTCCAAATTCCCAGTGTTGAGCATGACTCTCCTTTGCTGAGGGATATACTTACAGAGAACAGCAATTCTGTTCAACAGATAAGATTTCCAAATTGGCCATTTTATTCCACCAGTGATACAGAAGACTAAGATTTGGCAGAGAAGTCAGTGGCCCCTATACTAAGACGGTTCTGTGCAGCAGGGTGCCAGCTGTGCCCCCCTCTGATCACAGCCCCACCCCACCCTGCGGCAGGAATGGGGTGGATGGTTAGGCCATCAGGAGCAGGGATCAAGATCTGTCCATCTCTGCTGCCACAGGGAGTCAGCAAAGGCTCCCAGCCTCTTTGGCTGAAGTCACATTCTTTCCCCTAAAAGCTAAGTCAGTAAGTGGAACTATCATGTGATCATTTGAAATGCTAGCTGCCTAGAGATACATGAAAGCTCGAATTCTATGTATGGCGTTTGGTGTCAATGTGTAACGACTGAAAGGACAAGTAGCATATGAAAATTAGAGGCTTGGAGGTCAAGGAGAACCTTGGGTGAATAGCTGCATCCTCTCTCATGACCGTAATGCCCAAGTTATTTAATGGTTCCCTTTGGCTTGGTATGATGGAATTGGAAAGCTAGAGAGGCTGACTTGTTAATGCTTCTCTTGGGCTAAAATGTTACTAACCTGCAAGATGCATTGTTAATAGTACTAGCAGTTGTATTTAGTGAGTACCTTGTGCCAGACACTTTGGTAGGCAAACATGCTAGTACTATTCCTGTTTTACAAGTAAGGAAATTGACTTTTTCAAGGTCCTCTAATAGTTAACAGTAGAACAGAGTTGAATACTCAGGCAAGTCCCTCCTCTTAACCAGTACGCCACACTGTCTCCCCACTACAGAATTCTCTCCTCTTTAAAGCGTTAGGCCCCTTTTCTTTCTGGCAATCAAGTGAAACAAATACAGGCTGAGTATATGGAATGTTATAAGTTTGTAGGTTCATAAATTAATTTTCCCTGGCAAAAGGGAGTATCTTATCAGTGTAGTCTAAACTTGTTCAATATTCAGTGCACTCCAGCAGTCAGCATAATTGATGCAGAGCTGAACAATGAGTTTAGTAATGACAGGGAGTTGTCCTGTGAAATAGCTGTGGTGGAAAGATTGTCCTCCCCATGCTAAGTTTGCTTATTAACTGCCCACAAGACATGTACATCTCTTTTGTCTTTACTATAAGGGCTGGCCTGACCCTTTTCCTTTCTAACCACCCATAGAAGAGACATCTAAGTGTTGAAAGTGTTTCCTCAATATAGCTGCCCTGAAGTTGTCTGCCCCTTCACTGGCCAGCAGGAAGATTCTGATGGCCAAAGAGCCCCTTAAGATTCTCTGGGGGGCTTTCACCATGCTGCTTGCACCACCCTTTAATGCTCTCTTCATCCTGCCAAGCAATTGACATGTCCTGGCCAGGTCTGCTTGCTTTTCACTCCAGCTAGCCCTTGATTTGACTGAAACCTAAAAAAAGGGGATCACAGTAAGGAGCAAGCAATAATCAGAGAAACAAAGCCTAGTTAAATGGAGGGAGCTTTGAGGGAAATCGAGATTAACTAGCTATTGGCATGTGACAATCAAAAACCAATTGATTGGTAGAAAAATCTTCCTGAAGAGAGACAGGGAAAAAAATCCTTCTGAGAAATGCTTTAGAAAAAGTGAAGTCTGTTGCTTTAGTCTACAGCTCTAAATTTACATGGATTTATTGCTGTCCAAAAGGCTGAAATAATATAGTCAGCCTGTATTTGTTTCACTTGATTGCCAGAAAGAAAAGGGGCCTAAAGCTTTGAGGAGGAGAGAATTCTGTAGTGGAGAGACAGTGTGGTGTACTGGTTAAGACTTGACCTGCTAGTTAGGGAGGTGTACTGGAAAGACTTGACCTGCTAGTTAGGTGGCAAATCTCTGATCAACACAGCAATTTTTCCCTTTTATATTCACTTGGAAAAGTATTCTAAATGACTTTTCCAACTAGTCTACTAACTGAACACAGCACATATCTTATCTCATTCTTTCATTTGAAAGGGAGGGGGTTCTCAACCAAACTGAATGAAATTATATCTTGTATTTTGGTCATTTGTAACTTATGTAAGCTTTCCAACTATAAAGTTCAATACAGGTTAAATGAATTGAGCTTTCACCTATCATAAAATATTAAACAATAGCTGATTCATTTAAAGACAAGTACAATATAGAAAGTACAATGATAAATGTCACTTTAATCAAATTAAAGTCATAAATATAAAGACTCTGGCTCAATATTTCTTTAATTTCCCAAACATCACTTATTTTCTTACTTTCTCGTGTTCCACTTTAGCATTCATGTTATAGTACAGTTGTTCTGGGAAAGCATCTGTGATCACAAATAAAAAATATGCATCTATAAGCCCTTAAGCACCATATAAAATACTAAAATGTCAAAGATAATCTCTGATTTAATAAAGAAAATTCTTAACATTAAATGAGCACTGTTTCACTTACAATGTTGATTTTAAAAAGATCTGAAAATGAAATGTAGTAAAATTATTGCTTCTAAAGTTAAGCTGGCAGTCTATACAAGAGAGAATTGAGACAAATGAAAATTGCACCAAAGCAGTTACACAACCAATCTTTATCCCTTCTTTTGAGATTTTAGACAACTACACAAGCCATCATTTTATACACTTTATAATAAAAAGGGATATCCTGCCATCTAGACACTTAAATTACATGTTAAGATATATTCAGAGGATATTACTGTGTTTAACCACAGCAATGATTTAATTTTTTGCAAGTTAGGCAGTATAATAAATGCTTGAAAAACCTTAATGTGAAGGTCTGTAGGTATATTATACTTTGCCGGACAATACAAAAAAATTCACAATGCAAAACCAAGAGTATTTATTTTCATAATTAAAAAAAAAAGTAACATTTATTTCACAATCCCTGGAACTGTAAAATAACTATTCTTTTAGTTTACAGAATCAAGGGAAGTATTTTAAATGTCAAAATACACATGCTGAATGTGATTTAGCATATAAGCACCAAAAATCCGAAAAGTTTACAAAAATTGTTTAAATGTATAAGGTGCATTTACTCATGAAGTACATTCAATTTGAGGGAAGAAATAGTATCCCAAAGTTCACCAATATTTAAGAAATATCTGAATAGCTTCCAACTTGGTTTATAGCAAAATAACAAATACTGCTTTTAGGTTTTTTTATACAAGGCTTCTAAAATTTAGGTGCTGCCTTATATTATGAATGGCAGCTTGATCATTAAATTTGCTTATGTTCCAGTTTAAGATACTTCATACACAAACAGGTATTTAATGCCCTAAAAAAATTAAAAGAAAAAAAGTTATTTGGTAAATATCTGAAGTTCATAAAAAAAAGTTAGATCTCCTATATTTTTATGCAGAATTGGATATAAAGTCATCTTGGGTCAAATAAAATTATTTTTTGAATGTTATAAGTCTACCCAGTAATTAGGGCTTTTCTAAATATGCCACTATAGCTTCAGGCAATAATTGATATTATGAAGTTAAAAGAAGTAAATACAGAATTTTCTGGTTTACAAAACAAAATTATTGTGGTATTAAAGCATGCCTTTTTTCAAACCACTTGGTCAATGCTGATAACAAATAAGGAAAACATATTGCTCTAAATATACCGACTCAGCTGTCCTGAATGACCTTATTAGGCCAGGGAGGGGCCTTCACCTGGTTCCCCGGTTCTGTGGAGCTGCCACCTCCAGCCTCACTCTAAATAGCTTATTATACAAAATCAAGTTATTCACATTGCTAACACAAAATCCAGCAAGCTATCTATGGTCCTAAATGTCATCTACATTTACACATTTACTCTTTACTGTGTACATTAAAAAAAGAATTTTGTTGTGCTTTTCACATCCCATATAAGTTTTTGTATCAAACACTTTATTTCTTGGTTTCTTGGGAAGGGAAGAGAAAGACTAAGAGGTACATCAGGAGACTCAGACTGTAAAGTAACATTACACACACAACTAGCCAAATCTCTTTTTTAATTTAAAAGATATTGTCATCACAAGGGAACATATATATGTATAAAAGAAAACAAAGTCGCCTCCCTAAAATCTGTATTATTCCATGATAGATTTTCATCGCAACCAGTATTATATATCACAACCTGTTCAGTTATCCATTGGGTATGCTTTTCGAATTAAAATGTGTTATTACCATTTAAGTCTAAATATTGTACTTTCAGGAAAATGCGCTAAGAAATGGTTCAGTGATTTGCTCGTTATGATGACTATTTACAATGCTATCTATTTACGTTAGCAATAAATAATCCTGATATCAAAAGAGACAATGCTCATGCACACACCGAGATGGCTGCATGCTCTTAAAATATTTACATGTAGTTTCTTCTTTCTAGCTCTCCCATTAATAGTGAAAGTGCGTTTTCTTCAATTTTCTTCATATTTCCATTAGTCTTGCTTCTGGGGGATGCATCCTTCCATTTCCACAACTTCGGGCCATCCTTCATATTTGTTTGTGTCCTTATTGTTCTTTATGTGCTATTGGAAACAATAGTAGTATACAGTTTAAAAAAACCTTTGTGAACTGCTGATTTGTAATAACATTGTTTACTCACTCTCACACTTCTGTAACACCCATGTTGATGAAGAGTCCATACAAATTATTGCTCAACATACTAAATGCGTGACACTTGGGGCCTGTCACATATATGGCAGACCTTCAAATACTATAATAGCTAAAGCAACAAAACATTGTAGATCTTTTTAAAGGATTATTTATTAGTCAAAAAGTAAAGTTTACATTCTGTTAAGTTCTAAAGTATTGCCAAATAACTGATGTCAATATCCAAAGCGCAATTAAAATCCTTAATAACTAACGCTTCCTGAAAGGTTTAAGACAAAGTAATCACATTCCAATGCATTGTTATGTAAGGTAAAAAAAAATTTCCACACACAATTTTTAAGCTTTGGAGTTTAAAAAGTTTGATGGCTAGTTCAAATAATTGAATACCAAGAATTTATGGCAAATATATGCACATAATTAATATCTGCATTATTTAATTTTCAAATAACTGGGAATATGTAACATGAGGTTTCACACAATTTATTTTTGTTAATTATGAGCATCTAAGACACTAACCTGTTCAAAAGGGCTTTTTGTCTTAATGCCCTTCCCACCACAGAAGACCCAGTTGTCTCTAAAACCGAGATTAGTAATAGACGTACTCCCCAATTCAGCAATGAGCCGCCGTGCCTCATCATTGAGTCTTCAAGAGGGAAAGAAAGAATACAACAATAAACGCAGGGTACTATATGATACTTCATTGATTCACCTAGGACAGTTAACATATAACATGAATAAAATGAGAACATGTCAGCTTAAGAGAACATTTTAGGGAAAAAAAGGAATTTTTTTCATAGATAAACATTCCTACTATCTGAATTCTTTAGTGACAAAAGACGTGGAATCCTGGTCTGGGCACCTTGGCTCATGCCTGTAATCCTAGCACTCTGGGAGGCCAAGGCAAGAGGATTGCTTGAGCTTAGGATTTTGAGACCAGCCTGAGCAAGAACAAGACCCTATCTCTACTAAAAATAGAAAAATCAGCTGGGCATGGTCGTATGCGCCTGTAGTCCCAGCTACTCAGGAGTCTGAGGCAAGAGGATCTACTTGAGCCCAGGAGTTTGAGGTTGCAGTAAGCTACGATGACGCCACTGCACTCTGCCCAGGACAGCAGAGTGAGACTGTTTCAAAATAATAACATAATGCTAAAAAGACATGAAATCCAACAACTAATTTTAAGTTTATTCTGTTAGGAAGTGCCTTTTAGATGTCTTTATTTCATAGCAATAATTCACCTTCATTTAACTATTATATCCATTAAATCAATAAAGGATACCACAGTCAGTAGATGCCTTACCCAGGCTAATCCAAGGTCTTAAGTAGGGGTCCTCAAACTTTTTAAACAGGGGGCCCGTTCACTGTCCATCAGACCGTTGGAGGGCCGGACTATAGTTTTAAAAAAAACTACGAACAAATTCCTATGTACACTGCACATAACTGATTTTGAAGTAAAAAAACAAATGGGCAAAAATACCCACCTGTGGCCTGCGGACCATAGTTTGAGGACACCTGGTCTTAAGCAACAAATATCTTTAGAGAATTAATAATCATTTTGAATCTCCACTAAGACCTTTGTAAATAACATTTGAGTAGAACGAAGGTAAACGCTGATAGAAATCTACATATTTCTAACACTACGTTTTATTTAAAAGAAAATGACTTTGAGAATAGGGATATAAATTGCACTTCAGTGATAATTGCCAAGTGATTACTTAAAAAAAATCAAAATATTAACCACATAGCAGCTAAATATCTACCAGGATGATAAGCAATGACAAAATTTAACCACTAAACAAACTGCTAAACTAAAAAAAATTTGTGTAAGTTATTATCCTAATGTTTAGTGATTCTCCTTTATCTCAAAGGGGAGAAGTAGTTCAGTACATAAATGCTAGCTGTAGAGCTAAAAAAAAAAAAAGCACAAAAAGATAACTAAGAACTAAGGAGTATGTGTTCAAAGTATTTGGCATTAAGTCCAACAGGTCAATTACAGAGGTTTGTTCTGATACATATTTGAGGCAAGCTTTATATTTGCAAATAGCAGGAAGGTATTTACTCATTCCACACTGTTCTTTTAAACATCTCATGCTAATATCAGTTAGTTCCTTTAATATCTTCATGAAAGAAACACTAGGTAGCAAAGTTCCCATTGAACTAATTTAAAGATAAATGGGATAATTTATGTTTAAAAAAGCTTCATAAAACAGGAAGGAACTACATATGTTATTAAGCTGTCAAGATTTATGCAAACCACATCTATGGGGCAGTGGAGCTGTTTTAACCAGTCTGGGCACTGCTCTTCACCTGGAGGAAATTCACCAGAATCAGCAAGAAAATAAGCTATAGTGTGTGGAATATTCAGCCTTTCAGACTCACCTCCAAATAAAATGATGCATTATAACCATCGAACTAAAAAGAAGTGAGATTGCCTCCGTGCAAGAGACCTAGTAAAGTCTCAGCCTCTGTGAAGATTTTGAGACCTTCACATGGGATCACGTGCATATGCTTCTGGCTTTCTCCTCAAAGTTCCTCTGTAGCTTTGTTTCCTATGCCCACTCTTACATAAAGTAGCCATCACTTTTCACTTGTTTGCTCACTTTTTAAACAAGTTTTATGCTAGAGGGAGACTCCCTAAAAATATCACTTGAACCCTGTTTTCTTGCTTCCAAATGCTGTTAGGATGTCATGAATCTGGAAGACTGTCATACTCCACTCGTATAGTTTATCCAAATGTTTTATTTTCTGCCTACTTTCCTAGAACTCTACACTTGCATCATCAGCACTGCTGGATGAGTTTTGCTGCTGTAACAAGAACAGTATTGAAATGCAAAGGGCAGGCAGCCAGCTCAGTGGACTGCCTCCCGCAGAGAGACTTTGGGGCTCCATTCACATTTAGGTCTCAGAAAAATTACCAAATGGCACCTCACAGAGCTTTAGAGTTGCTCATAAATAGCTGAAACAGTGAATGTTAAGTTCACAAATGATGAGATTGCTTTATACATAAAGACTGCCTGCAAGGTAGGTGATTATCCAAATGCAGGTCTAGCCCTCTTGTTAAAAGCAAGTAAAATCTTTTTTATCTAAGAGTTTTGCAAAAACTGAGAAATATACTGAAGGACAGTCAGCCATTCTTACTTCCATACTTTGGAATTTCAGAAGTGACCATTATGACCTACATGAATAAACCAAGCCAATCTAGTCAGAGATCTAGAAGCAACTTAAAGATTTGTGTTTTGACTCCATTAATCTCTTTCCTTACTTTTCCATGAGAACACCCCGAGATCCTGTGCAGAAAAGCACTAACATAGCAGGCCTGAGTTCCCTATGCTTAGAAAGGCCTGCTAGCAAGATTGATCCTTAGCTGGCATTTGGACACTTATATTTGGGGAGGGCTTCCACCATTTTCAGAACTGATAAGAATGGTTCACTGGGCCTAAACTGTGTGCACAAACAATGCACTTTATGCTGAAGACTTGTTTTCTGTCTGGGAGTTAGGAATTTTGGGATGGGTTAGGCAGAGTGTACCTACATGACCAGCCCCCAGTAAAAACCCTGGCCACTGAGTCTCTAACAAGCTTCCTTATAGACAATACTTCCTATGTGTTGTCATAATTTGCTCCTGGAAGAATTAAGCATGTCCTGTTTGATTCCACTTGGGAGAGGGCTCTTGGAAACTTGAACCTGGTTCCCTCTAAACTTTGCACCATGAAATTTTTCACTTTGCTTATTTTGCTTTGTACCATTATGCTATAACAAATCATAGCGACGAGTCCTACCAGAGAATCATCAAAACTGGCAGTGGTTTGGGGGACCCCTGACACAAGTCCCTATGTATATCTATCTATAGTTTAACCTTTCTGATCAGCTTATGCAAAGTTTGGTGGATTATTTTATTATTCCTCTTGGATATCTTCTATTTAAGTAAAAAACAATTTCAACAAGTTTAAAACCATGCACCATAGCTCATATTTTGAGAAATACATTAAATATTAATGCATGATATTAAAAGTGTCAAAATGTCCCATTTCTTTAAAAGCCAGAGTAACTGATATATTTATATGTAGCATAAAGTTTGGAGATATAAGCTTTTTATTCTATATAGGAGCACCATGAGTTTGTTAGCACATATATTTTAATCCTCACTAATGGTCTTAACTAGCTGAGTTGTTAAAAACTTACGTCAAATTATTTTAGTGAAGAATTTTCTTTAAAATGAATAGAAAAGTATCAGGTGATAAAACCAGGAAACAGACAGCGATCAGGTTTTGCTAAAAGACACTCTAATATAATGCAGAGGCAATCTGGAGCAGAAAGGGGGAAAGTGGGGAGAGGAGACAGGAGTCTCTGGGTTCTACCTCAATCCTCGCTGGGATTGGAGGCACATCTGAAAGTCCTATAGTCACACCATCAAACCAAGCCAAAGCCTCCTTTCTGGAAACACAGAAGGCAACAAGGAGAACTGATATTCTAGGCTGAATTGTGATTAATAGGGAAGAACCAGTTAGGAAGTAGAAGTGTCAGGAACTTTGGAAGAAAATCACCGTATTACCTCAGGGCTTTGAAGAATAAGAAATGATTACTATATGTGGCGTAAATGGCCACCTACCCTAGACTTTAAAGAGAGCATACTGTAAAAAGTTCAGATTAGAAATTCCTATGAGGGAACATGACTCTTTAAAAACACACAAAAATTCCTAATAACTTTTGCTATACAACTGCTAACAATCCCAGAAAAAAGGAAGCATAGTTTCTAAATTACTGCTATTAGAGTAGTGTTCTACAATGGGCTCAAACTTAAGAAAGGAGGCATGCAAAATATCCATGAGAATGCAAACATGGCTACATTCTAGTTTGTTCCACAGCAATCCTGATAACTCTGTTGCTACAGCTTCCTTAATATTTAATTTTTAAACCAATCACTTTTCTATGCCATTTCCTGAGAGGATGCTTTGAAGTTAGGGTTGGGATAGTGTCCCTAGTGTTTCTTATGTTTTTAAAAAGTGTTCCTTTTCTACAAAGTAGCTATGGTGCCCTTGCATATTTCTCTGATAAGATTTCTATGCATAATTTTTATGTGGAATTGATCTTACAAATAAAATGTACTGTGCCTTTAGCTACAAAAAACAAAGTCTATATAAGTATTTTAAAGTAAAGCCTTCAGGCCCATACACACACACGCAATCTTAGATTATAAGGGAATCCGTTAACATAATCTTCAAGGTAGTGTCAGTTATTGTAGAAGCATCATGAAAAATGGAGATGCTAAAGCACTAACTGCAATATTCCAATTTTCAAAAAAGGCAAGGGAAATTTTAGAAACAATGGTTGAGTAAAACTAATTTCAATTCCTAGCAAAATTCTAGAAGGAATGACAACAAGATGATTCTGTGAACACTAAAAAGCAAAAAGGAAAGAATGGGAAGTAAGTGGGAAGGAGAGAGGAATAAGTAAAGCTAAGTTAATATCATCTTGGCTATTTCAGCTTTTGATAAGGTTTTCAGGCAGTAGATCTGGGTATTGAAATTAGCACAGCACAGTCCATGAATTTCAAGTGAGCATCTGATAGTCTCAGAAAATAACCTCTATGAATAAAATAATGAAACAGCAGCTGGATAGTATGCCTATTGGGGTACCTTGGCAGCTGTTTGAAAAGTAGTTTCTGCAATTGATTAACAGATGAATCCCTTGGAGGAGGCCTCTAGCAGGGTGGCACACTGCCCTTGGTAAACATTTTTATCAATGACTTATATTTAGACATAAGAATGACTTTGGAGAGAGTACAAAGCCTGGATCGTGGAAACCTCATAGGACAAATGTCAGAATCAGGACCAAGTGGGCTCAAATCAGCAAAATTAAATTTAACAAGAATAAATGCATATAAAATCCCTCATTTAGATTAAACAAAATTAAGTTCTGAATGGAGAGAAAGACCTGACTTGGCAGTGGTTAAAAAAAAAAAAAGAAAGTCTGAGATCAAATAAAAAGATCTGAGAATTTAGCTTGACCAAAAACTCATGAGCCAAAAATGTGACTGTTTAAAGAAAACTAATACAGTACTAGTCTGCATGAATATTCAAAGAAATGTAATCTCTAAAACATGGTAAGCTAGCATCTGCATTGTACCCTGTACTGGCCAGACCACATCTGGAACACTGTGATTTATTTGGTGCACTCATTTTAAGAGAGACAATAATCAACTAGAGAATGCCCAAGAAATATAGCCAGGAGGATAAAATAAACTAGAAACTTAACATATGATAAAAGTTGAAAGAGCCACGTGTAGTGAGCCCAGAGAAGAGAAAACTAAAGGAGAAATACCAATTAGATTTAAATACTTGAAGTAGCAAACATTTTGAGGAATGTATTTATTGTTTTGTCGTTTCATTTTGTTTTTTAAATGGGCTTCGTTGTTAAAATCAAGAAACACTGTGATAAACAGATGTAAAGAGGTTTCTTTAGTGCAGAACTTCAGAGCCTTTCATTGTAAATCCCAAAAAGGACCAAAATACAAGGTACCATCCTCAAACTTATTTGATCATTATACATACTTGTAAAGGACTGGGGTTCTACTGAACACACTTTGGGATATGATGTGATGGACACCAGTCCTAATCACTCTGCCGAAGTTCACAGTATTGCCAAGGGGGTCATCATGTTTGTAGAATAGTAACTAGGATTTGAAAGGAATAATAGAGAACTACATACTGCTTTCCCTAGTCAATCAATATGCAGCCCAACTCCCTCTTCTGGAAGAGCAGAGACATCCATTTCACACCGTAAATACTCTTGGGTGTAAGTGGAAGAAGAAGAACTCATGAGGTAAAATCCAGTGGCCTTAGGTAAGGAAAAGCCATAATACTTCAGTAGCAGTAAGATGAACTTCTATTCATGTATAAGAGTGAATATACCACAATGATGAATCATGTCAAACGTTCTGCATTCAGACACCAGCCAATCCATAAATTGAAGGGTAACATAAAATTGAGGTTGTATAACACGTTTATATTTTGTTATATTTAACAGATGAAGATTGCCTTTCATAAGGACTGTTTGACCATTTCAGTATAAATGGACACGATGCTTAAATTTATTTTACTAGTGTTTGGAAGAGGGAAATATTAGAAATGTAAGTGCATGTGCCCCAAAGTGAAAATGCATGCAATCTAATTCATTTAAATGCACAGAAGTTGAGTCATACATTGACTAAGTGTAAAGACATCAAAGTTTAAATTTCTACTTTCACCTTATAGGTTGAACCTCCTTCTGAGGCTGCTTCTGATGCATTTAATGGGCACTAAAAAATAGCAGCTAAAGAGTAAACATCATTCTTGCCTTAGTTTTTTGGTGTTGCTATAATTTGTTAGTAGTATATTAGCAGATTAAAGGAACAGTTCTGGTTCCCATCAGGTATAATAATGAAATAATTTGGCAAAGAAGAGAGATCATATGTGTCTATTCAGAAAAGTGGGGCTTTTTGTTTTTAATGTTAAAAATCTCAAATTATACACATAATATCCTATTCTCTCAGCAAACCCAAATTGTAAATTACTCAGTTTTTGATAAGGAAAGCCTAATTACATTCTGTTTAGTTACATGGAAATGGTTGACTATGCGAGTTTTATGTTAATCTTCAATTTATGAAATTAGTATAGCCTTAGTTGAACCAGATAAAATGCACAATGTCAATGAAACTACTTCAGCTTAGAGCCATTCATAAAGCAGCACTGTTTTCCTAGTGTAAATCTGAAATAATATAGCTATACGCTAGATACATTTAAAAAAATCAATAAATACAAAGACAAAGACAAGCCATGTTCCTTTGTGGCTCTTATAATTTTAGGGACTTTTCAATTAAAATCTATAAGGGATGTTTTTTATTCTTGATAAGCCATCTGGAAAAAAATATCATAGAAAAGATTTTTAGAAAGAAGACTATTAAAGGTTTAGCCTCACCAGAAAGGTATAAAGTACACTTAATTTTTTTAAATAGCTGTAAAATAATTGAAATCGTATCTTTTGGAACAGAAATAAATAGGTCAACAGAGTAGAACAGAAATTACAGAAACAAGCCAAATCTACATAAGAACCTAGTGTTACACAGGCATTATAGGTCAACATTACAAATGGATATTTTAAAATACATGAAAATAGTGAAATTACTGGAAAAGAAGATCTAATATCTAAATTGGAGATGGAAAAATACTTTACGTATAAAAGAAGAAACTAACAGGAAAATCCAGAGACTTGACTACATAAGAATTAGTCTGAACATATAAAAGTCAAAAAGCATCATAAATTAACAAAATCAAAAGCAAAATATAGACAAAAAATATATTTTTAACATGACTAACAGTTAATATCCTTAATATATAAAGGGCTCTTATAAATCAATATAGGTCAACTTGAATGAAAAATCCAACCTCACCAATAGTCAAAAAAAGGCACGTTAAAGCAAGTTACATTTTCAAAACTCTTAGAATTGAAACATTTAAAAAATTAATCAGTGCCACAGAAATTTTGAGAAAAATAAGATATAAAAATTCTTTTTTAAAACCATGCATATCTTTTAATTCTACAATGCCACTTCAAAAAAAATGTATCTCAAGGAAATAGACATAGATTGTTCACAAATTTAAGATAGTCCATTTTGTTAAGCATGAAAATGGAAATAGCCTAAGAATCCAGCACTAGGCATCCTATTAAACAGATAAGTCATAACAGGTTTAAAAACTAGATAAGGTAGATATGAACAATTTTGTTATGAAGAATATTTAATGATATGGAAAAATATTTACCACATAGGTAAAAAAGTATGCAATAAATGCTATCATTTCAAACATCTGAAATGAAGAAAATACGTGCATCTGGAATGGAAACTAAAATATTATCAATGGTTATCAATCCCTATCAGTGGTAGTGACTTTTGTGCTTTTCTGTGTTTTTCAAATTTTCACAACATACACAATTTTAAGAAAAAAGTTACAAAATTATCTACTAAACTTTATGAAAAATATGTCACAACTATGTCTTTGACAATTTATTCTACTTCTAGAAATTTACCCTAAGGGACATAATCAAATGTGCAAAAAAAAACATGTAAAAGGATGTTTATCACAATATTATTTATAAGATGAAAAATTTGGCAACAATAGGGAAACTTTTAAAAAGAAAGGTGGGCTTGTATGATGAATTGTTGATGAACCATAAAAAATCGGAAGAATAGGCTCCACTTCTACTCGCCATAAAATTGGTACTGACTGATTAACACTATGGTGCTCAGATGGTAGTAATATTCTCCAGGAATGGAGGTTAGGGGGATAAACTCACAACTATAGGACACGGTGTGCATTGTGGGGGGGAAGGGCATGCCTCTAATCCCTGCTAGGGAGAGGCAATGATATAAAATGTAACCAAAATGTTTTTACCCTCATGATATCTTGAAAAACAAAAATGCTACCGTATAATATTTATGCCAAGAAAAACAATTTAACCTTGTTTTAAAAAAGAACATAAAAGTATAAAAAATTGTATGTACAATGTTGATTATAATTTTACAACAATATATACATAGTAAATATATACATAGAAAGATAGGAAGGAAGCAAACTAAAAATAAACATGAATAGTGTTCGTTTGGTAGCTGAATTACTTTGCTCTATTTTACAAATTTTTCCAATGAAAATGTATTGCTTTTATAATTACCAATTATGCTCTAAAAAGTTGTATAAAGCTTTTAGTTTACATACTTGGTTGCTCCATCATCGTATGTTCCCATTAAGACTATTGTTCCATCTTGTATGCCCTTCAGAAACTCAATAAATGGTGCCACATCTGAAGAAAAAGAAAAGGTTGAGGATTTTTTAAAAAAAAAATGACTGAGTAACCATAATGACAATCTCTAAAATTATATTATAAAATATGAATTATCTGTAAGTCAGTAATTTCTAATGTAAAGGAATCCAAAAGAAAGACAAATCTTACAAAGTGCTTTGTCAAATTTGTTCCTAAATATGATCCCACCAAGTTATAATTTCTCAATCTCAATTATCCTGCGTCTTTTATACTCTTATAAGCTAAGAGAAAAAAACTATAGCAAAGTCATGTTAAAGCATTATTTATGAGATCTTAAGGGATCTGTCAGATACGAATAACTGAGACCATAAAAATGTCTCAGGGTCCATGGGGAAGCTTCAGGTGGCAGGAGAGAGGCTCTTAGACTCCTTGAGTATTATGTAAAATTGTCTGTATGGATATTTTTCTAGAATGAGAATACACAGCCTTTATTCAATTGTCAAAAAGATCTGTAATTTTTTTAGAAATCTATAAACACACACACACACACACACACACACAGATTTAAAGGATCTTCTAGGTCTATCTTCTTGCTATAAACTGGGGAAAGAAATGTAGGTTATCATTAAAAGCCAAACTAATTGCGGCAAATATCACAATCACTACTCACTTCATCTAGTAAATCAAAATCAAAACGGACTTCAAAATAAACCACATCAGTAGTTTCAAATTGGTGATTCCAGCTATGTCAGGTATTACAAACCACTTTACATCTTGAACTCTTTACAATGTCAAATTTCCTTACAGCTCCCACATCTAACACTATTTCAAAACTGAGTTACTTCAAATTTACTCTGTTGCTTTCCACACCACAAAGATTCTGAAGATTTTCTATAATTGACTATATTTTATAACAACATTTTGAATTCAGAAAAAAATGTAACAGCAGTTAACAAACTGCTTCCATTTCAATGCAAGGATGGCTGTAAACTGCAACTATTTCTTAACTAGAAGAGTGTGCTCAGCAGTAATTAATCTAACTGTGATGAGGAGAGTAGGGAATACCAGAGTTTCTGGTCGCATGACTAATTTCAACAACAACTTTATAATAGTGTTTCTATTAATAAATTTTGGTAGGACAAATTATGTCTTTAGAATCTAAAATTGATGGTAGCATTTAAGTTTATACAGCTTTGACAGCCATGAAATGCTCACCTGATCTCATTTAAGAAATAAATAATACATGGCATCTTATTACAAGCTGAAGAAATGTTAGAAAAATTATATTGCCTGAAAACTCTTAAAAGAAGTTTCAGGAAGCCCTTAACTCTTAACAAAAGTTTCCCTATTGGCTGCTAGGGAATATATAAATGGCATGCGGAGGTGCAGGGGAGATCCTCATACTGATAAATTTCCCAAACTAACTTAAAGAAGAATCAAAAGATACACCAATGTTGGCCTTCCTTCAGCCTTGAAGAAGAAAGCCCTTTCTTCTCGGCAGCATTCCTCTTTGGAGCGCCAGCTCCTTGTCTCAGCATACTGGTGATTTCTTCCCACTCCTTGAGAGATTTCCAAATACAGAAGGGGAAAATATCTGTGGATTGCTCTATATCCAGTGAATGAGAAAGAAAATTTTATTCCTTCTCTAAAATATTCATCTACTTTAAAAATTAGTTGTTAAGTCAGAAGGTAGACTTGGGATAAATAACAAGACTGATTTACTAAAACCTGATAGTTTATCTTGGGTGTCTAATGCTCCTAGATATGATTTATTTTTGAGACTGGAAAATCATATGTAAAGAAATCAATTCTGTCAGTTAAAAATGCTTACATTGGTTATGCTGGACTTCAAGTTACTAATTTTTTTTTTCTTTTTTTACATTTCAGATAGAAACCTAAATGAACCCAAAGCTTTTAAATTAGTTGTCCTGTATAAAACCAAACTTAGATATGTTTAAAATCTTGATTTTGATATTATCATATTCAATTATACACTACAAACAATTTTTATGACAAAACAAAGTATATATAATATGACAAATATAATTGGACATTTAGTGAAAAGACAGAGAAACAAAATAAACACATATAGTATCATTCTTCTCTCATTAAGGGGCTACATTATATTGAGGTGATTAAGTCAGTGCGAGCAACAGAACACATGAGTTATATTATTCATTCTTACCTCCTCCCCACATGTCAAAATATTTAGTGTCTAATACTTCCCCTGTTTTTCCTGAAAGAGATTGAATTCATATAAAATTATACAACTGAAATATACCATATACCGTATAAAACAAATGATCTTATTCAATGATTGATGTGAATTCATTAGCAGAGAAGGAATTACTTTGAAAATTTAAAATCTGAATCATATGCATATGAAATATATTTTTACAGAGTAATTTTTCATAGGACATTCTCATTAATCTTTTGAATCAAAGAATGGCAAACAGAAGTTCATTACTGACTGCACACCACTCCAATTCAGAATTTGATATATTTCATCCGTATGTGTTACCATCTTCCCTTATTTAAGAATTACCCAAAAATAAACCTTTTACAAAAAAGAAATATCTCCTTGAATCAGATGTCATTTTCTATAAAGTAATTTTAAAATAAAATTTACATTTATTTTCCTTTAAAATGTATTTTTTCCTATTAAATAAACAAATAGATATTGAACCTTTTACCTAAGAAAATGAACAAAAGAAAGAAACACAAAAATTTATCTCTTATGAAAACAGTAAAAGTATATTTTCCTACACTGTAAACTGGGAAAGGTGACCGATGGTTTCTGGCCACATTATATAGCTTTAGGGGATATTTATGGTACCAGAACAGAGAGGATCAGTGTGCTGTTAAGCCTCATTTAACGGTTTCAAACTTTCAGTTTTGATTTTGCAAGGACACTCGAGACATTCAGGATTCAATGAATTTATTCATACTAATGAACCCATCAGAAGAATGTGGCTGATACTGAAATTTCCAATAAATTCTCGCTCTGTTTCTTTCCCTACCCTATTCAATTGCCCACCATCCTTTGTCATTTTATACACCTTCATTCCTGTCAGCCTATCTTCGTATTATGTTAGGATTCCAATATTTGCAGCAAGACTTCATCAATTTAACGTTAGATTGTTTTCTGACACTCTCACAGGCAGCTCTCTACAGAGCACACAGCAAGCTAGCATAATTTCAAGAAAGCATGCTATAAATGCTTAGATACTGAGTCTCCATCTATAGATGATTTGGGGTGGAGAGGGAAGGAAGACTCAAGGGTGGCACTTTCTAACCTGATCTCTTGATAGTGGAGTACACTTTACTTTTGGGCACAAAAATACTCATTGACTACATCTATAAGCTAAAATTTTTCTCACCATTTGCCAAGGCAACATTGATTCCTCTTCCAACATTATTCTTAACACCACTCATTAAACTGAAGGGGGAAAAGTCAAAATAAATTTAGAATTAGACAAACATATATTAGAGAAATAAAGTTATACCAACAGAGGGATATTATATAAATGTTCAATGGTTCAGCAATGCAGAGGGAATGAAAAGGTCTCTACAAAGTCAGAGAAGACAGTCTAATATTAATTTTAAAGTAATGTCCTTAAATAATATTTCACAAATAGAAATATATATATTAAAAAGTGTTAGAGCTAAGATACTAGACTATTTCTTGCTGCTCTGCATCAGATTATGAAACGTCATTTTAGAAAATTAAAACATATGGACATTAAGCACACACTCTGCACCATTCTCAAGGGATCAAACATCAGGTAATCTCTTTTCTACTTTCTGCAATATCAGTATCACAGGAAACAGAAGTGAGATGCTACCCAAAGCTTTTATAGTCTGAAGCAAGAAGAGCAGGGGGGCATTCTTCTGTGAATGTTTTACCCAACATTCTCTTAGTGATGTAAGAGAATGTAAGGTTCCTCTATACTTATCAACTTATCTTATCAATGTAAGGTTCCTCTATATTCAGAAGAAGGAATATTGTACTCACATAATTACTTATCTAACAACAGTCATTTATGTGGTCTACCTGAGGCATTTGACATCCACTGGAAGCCCACCCCAACTATTACATAGGGACAATGACACCATGAAATAGAAGGCATCAGTGACATATTTGCTTATCACTTTGGTTTGTTCAATAAGAATTATTATTAAACTAAAATTGTGGGTACTTTTAATTTTAAAATGTCAAAGTAATAGTAATATTCCCAGTAGCATACTGTTAAATGTTTAACAACAGGTATAAGGTTGGGGGAGAGGGGAGCATGCATATATGTGACTACACATACACACATATATCCATATACTGATACGGCTATATATACACATAGGTACATAATTTATTACAAATTTTACTGATATAAAGGATGCATAGCACAATTTCACAAATAATAAACTCTATAATACTTCATTGTAAATTCCACATAACAAATTTATTCTCATAGAATGTGTTAGTAGAGTATCACAGAACTCATATCTGTAGCTAAACTATGGTTGCAACTAATGAAGGAGTATAGTCATAGCATAATTGTTGGATGATACTTTCATTTATGTTAAAGAGATACTAAAACAGCATAGATTTATGTTGAACTTCACTCCTCGGTCAATAATGTGAGCAAAGTCTTTACCGAATTAGATAATTTTTCAGATACTAGAAGGCTACTTCCTTGTTTTGTTATTCACAATATAAACAGCTATGACATGACATAGTTTTAAGTTTAATCTGTATAATTAATATTTTCTCCATCATTTTCTTAAGTCTAGACCTTGAGTCTGAAAACTTTTTCTGTAAGGAGTAAGAGCAATCACTAAAAAAGCTATAAGAGGAGATGCACTCAAAAACATTATAAATAAATCAAAAGGAAATTCTAAAAATTATTCATGTAACTCATAGAAAGGCAGCAAAAAAAAAAGAGAGAAAATAACAAAATAGCAGACTTAAGCCCTCACATATTAATAATCATAATAAATGTAAATAGTTTAAACATACCAAATAAAGATAGGGGATAGTGGATTAAAACAGGGCCAAACTTCACATTGTCTTAAAAAAAATTAACTTTAATTGTAATAATATAGTTAGTGGAAAGTAAAAGGAGAGACAAAGATCTATAATGCAAACATTAATCAAAAGAAAGATTACAACTCAATAAAAAAGAAACAACACAATTTAAAAGTGGGCAAAGGGTTGGAATAGACTTTTCTCTCCAGAAGATATACAAATGGCCAGTAAGTACATAAAAAGATGCTAGACATCATTAATCGCTAGAGAAATGAAAATCAAAACCACAATGAGATACTACTTCATAATTACCAGAATAGCTACAATCAGTAAGTCAGATAATAACAAGTGCTGGCAAGGATGTGCAGAAATTGGAACTCTCATACGCTGTTGGTGGAAAGGTAAATTGGTGCAGCCACTTTGGAAAACAATCTGGCAGTTCCTCAAAATAGTCAAACAGAGTTACCATCTAAACCAAAATCTATTCCCAAGTGTACAGAAAAATGAAAACAGGTCGAAACAAAAGCATTTGCAAAAATGTTTATAGAAACATTACTCATTATAGCCAAAAAGTGGAAACAACTCAAATGTCTATAAGTGATGAATGGAAAAACAAAATGTAGTCTAACAGTCTAACCATACAACGGCATAACAAGATCATGAAGTACTGACACATGTTACAACAGGGATAAACCTTGACAAAATTATGCTAAATGAAAAACTCAATCACAAAAGACCACATATCATATAGCATTTATATAAAATGTCCAAAGTAGGCAAATCTATAGGGACAGACAGTAAACTAGTGACTACTTAGGGCTTGAAGGTGGGGGAACAGGGCAGAAAGAAAAGAGGGTAAGAGGATGAGGGCAAAAGGACACAGTTTCTTTTGTGAGATTCAAAAAATTCTAAAACTGACTGTGGCCGAGGTTGAACATATCTGTGAATATGTTAAAAACCACTGAATTACATATTTTTAACGAGTGAAGTATATGGTATGTGAATTATATCTCAAAACTGTTTTAACAAAAGAATTAGTCTTAAGCATATACATTAAAAAGACCTATGCTTTATTATGTGACTGCACCAAAGAAGAGGGAAGTTTCAAAATAATGTACTTTCAGAAATATATTAGGATAAACAAACTACATCGTTAATATTAAGAAGCAATAGCTATTATTAACTACGAGATTAATAAATTTTTATTTCAAAATATTAAGGGTTCTAGATTAATAATTAAGTGCCACAGTGACTTTTCCAAGAAGAGACCATCTTGGAGTGTGCTGTTGTGTTTAATAAACTGAAATATATCATAAAGCAAAGAAATAAAGGTAACAACGAAGCACAATGACATAGGCTTCCCACAAGAGGGCAGCAGCTTATCAATTTTTAAAAACCAATTCAAATAGAAACACAAATGAAAAACCCCTTAAGATTTAAAATGTATAAAGGTTAGTAACCACCTTTACTAAATACCACGAGTTGAAATATTGCTTTCATCCTTCATGAATATGGATGTCCCCTTCCCCACTAACCATCTCCGGGCAAAAATCTTAAAGAAATTATTATATAACCTATAGATACAATCAATATCTTCAAATATAGCTTTGTTTCAAATTGCTACTACATTGTTCTAGCTACTACTTCTTTTTTATTTTATTATTTTATTTTATTTTTTTCAGCATATTATGAGGGTACAAATTTCAAGGTTGCTATAATGCCCTTGCCACCTCCTAAAGCAGAGTTTGGCAAACTCAGGCAACTGAGTTTTTTTGTTTTGTTTTGTTTTGATGTTAATACTCATGAGCTTAAAATGGGTTTACATTTTTAAATGGTTATATTTTAAATGGTTATAGAAGTACCTACATAATATCCCATAATACCCTTGATTTTAGCTCTTGGCCATCACAGCTAAAAAATACTATATGGTCACGTGTTAAAAAAAAAAAAAAACCCTTGAAATAGTCTCCTATATATTCTTGCACCAAACATTAAGATCATAATAAAAGATGAAGAATTATTCCTAATATCAACTTCATATAAACTGAAATTAAATGAGTATATGCTTGAAAAGTGAAAGCTATTCATCTGAACATAAGTTATATGAATTCTCCAAAGCAAAAAACAAAAAACAAAACTGCAATTCCTGTTTTATACATCACCTCAGGTTTATGACCAAGATCTCCTATTTCTAACTAATGAGACATTAAAAACACATCTTAATCTCCAGAATATATTCTGACTTCATCTATTAGTCCTTAAAATCATTACCACCATCCTAATCTTAATTACCATCTGTCTGTATCAGAGTCTCTCAAACTTGGCCTATGATAATAATTAGGGCCTAATCATTCTCGTGGAGGGGCTGACCTGTGCAATGACAGAGGTTAACAGCATCTCTGGCCTCTACCAGTAGCACTGTCACAGCCGTGATGACCCAAAATGACAAATGTCTCCCGAGAAGCAAAACTGCCCCCATTGAGGAGATACACTGATCTAGTATAGCAGTCTCCAGCATGAGTTGCACATACTCAGAGCAAGTGCAAGAAAATATTAAATTGCCTACATATGTACTTTTATTATCTACGAGTAAGCAATAAAGTCTGTTACCAATAGGGAGGCAGTATCCAAGAGCTGTGGTAGAAACTGGCAATGGCCTTCCAATTGTTCTCTCTATTCCACTACCCTAATCATTTTACACAGCAGCCAGATAATTTTTTCCCCCCAATGGAAATGAAATGACACGACAGAGTTTGAAAATCTTCAAAAACTTCTCAACACACTAAAAAAAAAATCTCAACCCTTTACCTGCACAGCCTACAGCAGGAGTCCTCAAACTACGGCACGTGGGCCCCATGCAGGTGTTTTGGCCTGTTTGTTTTTTTTACTTCAAAATAAGATATGTGCAGTGTGCATAGGAATTTGTTCATAGTTTTCTTTAAACTATAGTCCAGCCCTCCAACGGTCTGAGGGACAGTGAACTGGCCCCCAGTTTAAAAAGTTTGAGGACCCCTGGCCTACGGGTTCCTGCATGGCCTACAGGTCCTGCATGTGGCGGGACCTTTGCTTCTCTCTAGATATTACCATTTAGGGCCTTCAAGCACACTGTTCTTCTTTCTAGGATGGTGTTCCCTCACTCTTCACCTGGCTGTCTTCCCTCTTACCTTTGGTTCTCGGAATACACATCACTGTCTTAGAAACAACTCCCTAACCCTAGATCTACAGTTGGGCACCTCTTCTCACTCCCTCCCACCAGCATTCACCACACCCTGCTGCCCTGCATAGCAGGTGTCACCATTTAGGACTTACTTGCATTTACTTAAGCATCTGTTATCCCTTTTGCACTGTAAGTTCCATGACAGGAGGGACTATGCTCAATAAATACTTGTTGGATGCTTAGAAAATTCACTCTTTCTTTATAAACATTTCTTGAAAACTTTTTTTAAGCTTTTGATGTAGAAAACAGAATATCCTGGAAAATGCCCTATACTTCAACCCGATCCCTACAGTGTTTCTACTGGGGATCCCTGGCCAATTACTGAGACCGTCTGTGGCAACTAGTTTCATGACCTGAAGCCTGGCTATAAAAACTCATCATTATTTAACCTCTCATGGGAATGGCAGAATGATTTCTGAAATAAAGATAGATAGGTGGCCTATCTCTTTTTATGGTTAAAGGAACTGAAATACAAATTGTACATGCTCACCATGCTACAACCAAATTCTCTGGCTCCAGGCCCAGTTCTTATTTTACCAGGCTCCACTGTCTATATACTCTTTGCTTTTCTTTTTGACTTATAGAATCTGCGAATAAAAAACCTGCTGGTAAAAAGAGTTTGATCTCTTCTTTGCATTAAAACTTAACATGCTACAAGGGGGCAGACTGGGTGTTCAAAGGTAATCTGTGGACTACTTATTCTAAAAAAACTTTGTATCTGTTATTTAGACTCAAACTTGGGGTCTCTTTAGCCAAACAAGGTGAAAAGGCAAATGGGAATGTTTTCAAAAACCTACAAATGTCTAAAATCCAAGTGCTTTCTTACATTGTCAGTGAAACAGGACTATAATGATGAGAAATCAGAAGACAATGGATTAACAATGGACCATCATTAGAATGAGGGAAAAGATATGAAATGAGTAGAGACCTCAAAGATCACCTAGCACAAGCACTTAAATTTACAGGAAGTGTGATCCCATGAAGCCAAATAACTTTCCCATAGCTAAATAACTGCAAAAGGGGCTAAGATAAAAATATAAGAGCTTCTTAGAAGAGAAGAGATACACAAAGAGCTGGAAGAAACTACCTAGTTCAGTTATGTCTCCTTTCTATTAAATTACCTCTTCATTTTATATAATTAATGACATACTATTTTGCGTGAAGTTTAAATAAGTTTAAATAAGCTCCTATGTCTAGTTTCTCAAGCAATAGCAGATTGAAAACCACCAACGAATAGTAGGGTTTGCAATTCCAGAGGCAGGAAACTTCAAGTTACAAGTGACAGTTGACACTGAAGTAGAATATTGAACAACCTAAAAACCATACTTTGCAGAGCGTCTCAACATAGGAAATCATTCTGCTTGGTGGCAAAGAGTTTGTTTCACAATGGACCTGAGGTTATCACTGGATCATTTCACACATTAACAAGGTCAACCAGCAGCACTTAAATATTTAAAATGAAAGATTTGGTTAAGAGAACATGTTCATTATCCAGGGCAATGTTGTCACTAGGATTTCTGCCATGATGAAAAGGCTCTGTGCTGTTCCATTCAAGGACCATGAACCACATGTGACCACTGAGCACCTGAAATGTTGTAACTGTCACTGAGTACCAAACTTTTAATTAATTTATATGAATTAACTTTCTCCCTATTATTTAAGAATCAAAACTAAATAGCCACATATGTCATGTGGCTAGCAAATAGCACAGTACACATCTAGAGAATTCAGTCAGAGGTAATCCTTCATCTCTACACGAAGCTGGACAAGTGCTGTGTTCTTAAGCATTCTCTAAATATAAAATTTAGGAACTTTAAGACTCCTTAAATGCAAGGGGAAAAAAACTGTAATGAAAATTGAAATCACTTTCCTTGAGTAAAAGCATGCCCAATACAATTTGAAAATGTCCATTAAACTCAGTTTCAATTGGCTATAATTTAATAGCTCATCTTGTAGTTCTAAATCAACAAATACTTACACGTTGTCTTCCAGGCAGATTTTGGGTCCCACCACATTGGCTGCTCCACTTGCCATTTTAAAAGCAAAATGCTTCTCAGGGCAAGCTTTTGAGATCCCACATTTGTATCTGGGAGGCTTTGTAGCTTTGGGGGAGAAAACAAATATGATTTTTTTCTTTTAGAAAACAAGAGACTCTGTCAGTTTATTTCCTATCTCAAACCACGAAGGGCATTATGTAAGACACCAAGATACACATGTTTTAAAACATACGATAGAATTTTTTTTTCCCTGAGGGTTTCAAAGAACCTCAAAAAAATAAACAACAACAAAAAACTAAAACACAACAAAAGCCAGAATCTCCTAGGGACAAGCGAATAATTGACATAAATGGATCAAGTAATGTGCTCTTGATGAGGATAAATATATTTTATCTAATTATTCTTGAGTTTATTTTTAAATTTCAGGATGCGAGAGGTTTTGAATGGTTACTTTGCATTTCCAGTCCATATATGAACAAAAAACCCATTACCTCCAGGATCATTAAAAAAACCTAATGTTTCACTAACTATCTACCCATGTTCAAATTCTAACCAGGAATTCTCCTTTTACTACTTACTCCTCCATCACTTTCTATACTTATAATACTGGAGCTAAGATACACCAATAAAACAAAATATCCATTATGAATAAATACCAAGAATATTGGGCTGGCCAATCAAAGAACATCCTTGTAACTTTAACAGCAATTTTTAAAGCAGTTTTTGGCTCATACTGAACTACTGGCATTGTTTAAACATAACCTCTCACATGCCTAAGACAAAATAAACCATGTGTAAAATATTGAGATGAGATACTCACAGCGTGCAGCTATGTCCAGTGCTGACCTTGCTAAGGAAAAGAAGTTACAATTGTTAGAAGGAATAAGCCTATTGGCAAGTATCTACTTTTTAAACATATTTAAAGCTTATGATAGGTCTATAAAAATAAAAGGGCTTGAATATAATAATTGCTCAGTATACAATAAAGGAAACATGAATAACAGTTCAGAGAAAAAGTAAGAAAGTAACATTATGCTCCATAATTCATTATCAAGACTTATGTAGAGAAATCCTAAAGGGTAGTATTCTATTACTGCCATAACATTTTATTTTTACCTTTACATTTTGCTTTTATAGTTATTAGAAATTTAAATCTTAATCAGAAAATTACTCTACAAACTTATCTTTAAATGACTATACATTCATACTTGGTGAATATTATGGTGTTTAAAAGTTGTTACGGCTGCCATTCATATATGCAAATAAAGCACCAGAGAATATATATATATCAAACTATCTTAATGGTTAGAGTAGAAGGCTGGGGGGCAGGGAGAAGGTCATTACTAAAAGTTTTATGATTTATCAGTTAAAGGAATTCAGAATGTCAAATATTAACATAAATGCAGCAGTTCTCAACCTGACCACTAATTACAGTTAGTGCTTTTTAAAAGCACTAATATCTGATCCCAGCCCAAGAGATTATAACTCAGATCATCAAAGTATTGTAGACAGCCATTTCCTGATTTGGCTAATAGTATACAGTGTGATAAATGTCAGCCAGCTGTCTGACTATAAATAGTCACACAGTTTTTAATTCTGTACTATTTTAGAAAATTATGAAAATACTGAAACTGGGAAACAGAAAGTTAAAGCTAAAAGACTGTATCTAAATATTTAGAAGGAGAAATGACTGAGTAAATGAAGGTTCATTAACTCAGTAGAACACTATACAGCATTAAAGTAAAAAAGGTAATGTAATAATATGGAATAAAGCAGAAAACAGACTTTTTTTTATTTTTTAAAAGACAAAGTCTTACTCTGTCGCCCTGGCTAGAGTGCAGTGATGCACTCATAGCTCACTGCAGCCTCGAACTCCTAGGCTCAAGCTATCCTCCTACCCAGTCCTCCTAAGTAGCTGGGACTACAGGTGCCTGCCACCAAGCCTGGCTAACTTTTTAAAAATTGTTTTGTACAGATGGGGTCTCGCTTTGTTGCTCAGGCTGGTCTTGAACTCCTAGCCTCAAGTGATCCTCCCATCTCAGCCTCTGAACCTGCTGGGATTATAAGCATGAGCTATATCACATATGGTCAGAAACAAACTTTACCTTACTCTCAAATCAAAAAAGGAACTTTACTAGGATATAATTTTGGGAAGACCAGTTTTTAAATCATCAGCTTTTTAAGTAAATAATATCACCTCCATTTAATTTGTGTAAGAGTATGGGGAAAAGATGCTTTAAGGTAAAGAAATTCTTGTCAAAGACTTTTCTTTCCAGATGAAAGCTCATTTTTTTATCCAATCCTCATCAAAACAAAAAGGCTTACAATTCTAAAAATGCTATCACTTGGGGTCCAAACGGTAAATTAATTGTAATAAATAAAACAGGGTGTTGTTCAAGTATAGAACACAGGTACAATATACAAATACAAAAATCCCTCTTCTTCTTCAAGTTTTTCTCCCTCAAAATATCCTGAGAGCTTTACTCCTCAAATTCTTTCAACACATACATTTTACTTTAAGGAACAATAATAAACATTTCTGATTAGGTTTCATCAAGAAATTTCTTTCAATAAAGTCAGGCTAATGAATCAGAACTATTTTGTACTTTAGTTTTTAATAAGGTTGCAAGTAATTTATGTCTATACTATTTATCAATGGTTTAAATCTGAAAAGGTCAAAATAAATCAACTCAATAGAACATTAAGTACTTACTGCAGCAATATATGCAAAAATAATTTTGACTGTGTTCAGTACATTTACTAGCTAAGTATTCATGCTAAAACCAAACACTACATTAGATTACAATCCTAAGTAAGATTGGTGGGTTATATTCATGTTGAATGCTGGTTGTGACAGTGTATTATAGTTTTGTAAGATGTCACCAATGGGAGAAACTATGTAAAGGGTAGGTAGGATCTTCCTGTATTATTTCTTACAAATGCATGTAAATCTACAATTTTCTCAAAATAAAGTTTTATTAAAAAATCTTTTAAAAAAATCACAATACACTTTGGTAATTTCAACTAATTATAGCCAAAATTTTTATTTTTCCTTTCTAGAAATAAGTTTGTTTTATTTTTCTAAAACAATACTATATAATAAACCTGAATCGAAATGACTTATAAACTATCAAGTTATTATATCAACAACTTGAAAAAATGAAAAATCACCACCAAAAGAATTATATTTAATCTTATGTACCCCTAAGGTACTGATTATAGCAACAATTCTACTGCTAAGTTAAACTTGTTACCCTTTGGCACATTAAGTTAGCTGCTAAACAAGTGGCAAAGATAACCATATATCCATCTTTGCTAAAATAGTCTGAATGAAAATTAAAATAAAACCCCACAAATTAAACTTTCACCAATACAATAGAATAGAATCCGGTAAAATTATATAGATACAAGGCATTACTTTAATTATGACATCAAAATAAACCATCTGTCCTAAGAATGCCTAAATCAAATAGCTAAACTAAACAAAATAAAACCTTGCAGGTTCTTAACATGAGGAAATATCAATAAAAATTAGGACAGACAACTATCTTGGTAAAAGGAGCTCAGGGCTTATTCATAGCTGACTACCAGTGATTTTCCAACTAATACAGCTTTAAATGAATCCCACTTCGGAAATACTCTTCCTTCCCACATAAGGAAATACTCTTCCTTCCCACCCTTATCTTCAGTTACCTACATTTATTTTCAATTAGCATATACTATCCACAGGGCCCAGTGCTAGATGCTGGGTGAAGCATCAAGATATTATTACCCTCGAGGTTCATTCTCTGGCGAGGGGAGACAGACAAATGAAAAAGAAGAAAAATTCTATAATGTAAGGCAGAATAAAATTAGTGTCAAATAGCGATATAAGTACTACGCAATTAAAACAGTTTAGAAAAACAGTAACATACTATAATAGGGAAAGAAAGCAGTTCAAGCACAATTTCTCCAAAGAAGGGGCATTTATGCAGAGTTTTAAAAAATGAGAAGGATTAACAGATGCTGGGGAGATGGGAAAGACATACAGGGTGAGGAACCAGCACAAGCAAAGGCCAAGGTATGAAATTACAGGACAGGGTTTGTGTCTGTGGGCTGTGTCCAGACTGGTATGTCAAGTGTTACCTTCAGGGTAGAGGCGGGTGGAGAAGAGCTGAGAAGGCAGGCTGGGGGCTTTGGGTGCCACCCTAACTAGAGAGTTTGGATTTTATTCCCCAGTAATTAGAAGTACTAAAGATTGTTGAGTTTTAAGAGAATGGCACTGGCAGTGGTAATAGGCAGATAGTAAGGATGAGAAAGAAACAAAGGGACATCACTATGATGTTTACAAAACAGTCTCGACCAGACATTACGATTCAAACTAGGACGGAGACGGGGGTCAATGGGTGGGGATGGACATGAGCAGTATCACTGGAGGAGAATCACCGGTGGCATGTGTATAATGACTGGGCCACACGGTGGCCTCACCCAGCCTCTTCTCCACTCTTCTTTCTAAAAACAGTGGGCCTTTTCCCAAAGTAATTTTCTATGTGTACCAATGGTCCCATTGCCTCCCTTCTTTGAAGGATCCTCCTTTCTTTGTCTGTTCAATCTCTTCTCGTTTGTCATGCACTTAACTTTCAACCAAGACTAGGGAAACTCTCTCCATTACTTTAAGAAAGAAAAACATGTACAATGTGCTTGAGTTCAGCTACCACCTCATAATCTTCTTACCTAATCATCAACGTTTCTTTGAAGAATTAGCTATATATTGCTTATATTAGCTGTATATTAGCTACATATTGCTTCCAGAATCAACACAGTTATCAATGCCTTCAATGTGCTTGGTTTCTGTACCATTATTCAAAGGCAGCCCAGGTGTGCTCTCAAAGGCCACCAAGTTGGCCATTAGGGAATAACAGAAGTACACACATCAGAACAAGTTAAGTCTCAGTATACATGCAATAACCATTTTATGCTGGATCCTGGATACTTCTTTTAAGATGGGAGCTTAACAACAGATAGGTTCAGGAGGAAAACAACTACTACATCAAAAGGAATGGCTGAAAAAAGGATCCTATTACTTAAAAAGACAAAAACTTATACAAAGAAGGTTTGAAGTACTATAACTACAATGTTAACTATCTGAGACAGGGGTCCTCAAACTTTTTAAACAGGGAGCCAGTTCACTATACCTCAGACCGTTGAAGGGCTGGACTATAGTTTTTTAAAAAAAACTATGAACAAATACCTATGCACATTGCACATATCTTATTTTGAAGTAAAAAAACAAATGGGCAAAAACACCCGCATGTGGACCGCAGGTCATAGTTTGAGGACACCTGATCTGAGAGATCAGTGATGGAGAAGAGAGCTCCAACAAGCAGAAACAAAATTAGTGGATTGAAATTACTTGGGAGTACAAAAGGCAGAATTCCATGCCATACGGGTTAAGAATCCCTTATCCAAAATACTTGGGATCATAAGTGTTCTGGATTATTTTTCCAGATTTTGGAATATTTGCATTATACTTTCCAGTTGAGCATCTCTAATCTGAAAACTAGAAATCCAAAATGTTTCATAAGCATTTCCTTTGAGCATCATGTCAGTGCTTAAAGAGTTTTGGATTTTCTGACTAGGGATGCTTAACCTGTACAAGTAGTCATTGTAAGAAAAGTCACCTGAATATGTTTATATAGAACTTGAAGACTACATGGCCAAAGTATATAAAGCCTTGATACACAGTATGTAATCCATGGATAGGAATCTCAGCATCACTTGGGCGCTTGTTAGAAATGCAGATTCTCAGGCCCTGTCCCAGACACTGAATCAGAATCTGCATTTATCAAGATTCTCTGGAGATTCTTTTGACATTAGAGTCTCAGAAGCACTGGTATAAGGAAGTCTTGAGATTAGATGTGAGAGGGAGTGAATTAGGTCTTCGGAATCTCTTCCAAACATTAATTTACAGAAAGCAAAACTCACTATTTCAGAGATCTCAAAGTACTTTCATTCGACTTCTGCCTACTACTAGGTCAAAATCCTGTTTCCAGGGTTCATAATCTCACCTTTCATGCTTAATTATTTAATACCTTAACCCTTTAGTCAAAGCTATTCAATGTAAGTATAAGGATCTATAAAGAAGATCAACAGTTTCTCTAACTTCAAATAATAAAGACCTATGAAAACAGTCACCAGAAGATATTCAGAAATGTAGTCATGTGCCACCTAATGATGTTTCAGTAACAGACCATATATACAATGGTGGTCCCATAAAATTATATTAATAATATCATACTTTTACTGTTATCTTTTCTATGTTTAGATACACAAATAATTTACCATTAAGTTACAACTGCCTACACTATTCAGTACAGTAACATGCTGTACAGGTTTGCAGCCTAGGAACAAACAATACCAAATAGCCTAGGTATGTAGTAGGCTATACCATCTAGATTTGTGTAAGTATACTCTATGTTTGCACAACAAGCAAAATTGCCTAATGATACATTTCTCACAATGTATCCCCATCATTAAGTGATGCATGGCTGTGATTTTATACAGAGCCTTAGATAAGTAATTACATCCCACTTTAATATGTAAACATTAAATTCTATTCTTCACTATCATAATTGTATACTTATAGAAGAGAAATGCATACTTGACAATTATTTGAGATTCAATGAGATATTCATATATAACCATCTAAAATAACATTATATATACTTGGCTCCTATGAAAACATTTCAAATGTAACATTTTAATTAACTTAAAGATTCTGTTAAAAGCTCGGTTGAGGAGCTTATGATGGTACATTTATAATATAGCAACACTAAATGAATGAGTAAAAAGAAAAATGCCACAAAGGGAAAATAAGAGTAAGCAAGATAGATTTTATGGCTGGTATCTAAAATGCATTAAATTCTTGTGACTCCTAATCACTTGCCAACTGAGGGCTAGATTTGGCTTCGAATTTTCTAGCAGCCAACTCAAATAGGAAAACAATTTAAGCTTGGAGGTGTTATATCTAAGATATAACGTGCACTTAGAACATCACAATTAATTCCCCTAAGCATTTATAAAATAGGCTCATTTTACATGTGCAAACTGTTGAACTGAAGATTCATGTTTTATACTGAATTCCAAGACCACTTATTGTATATTTTAGAATATTCTAATAAATCACACTTAGTGATATAATTACATTTTCTTTTCTACATAGACTAACAGAAGAGTGACTTGGAGAAGTGATAAAAATTTAGACAACCACACCAAAAATAAGATTGAAGAAAGGGGAAAAAAATGAAACTTACCAAATAGATTTCCTAAACTTGCATCCATTTTAATTTCAAATACTTGAGAAATAACATAAAATGTTAGTAAAAATACTGCCACAGCTACCACCAACTTTGCAGCACCTAGGTAAAAGGCAGAAATAATTCAGCATGAGTTTATAAGCCCAGAGAACTTTTGTGAGGCATTTCTATGAAAAATATAAGTTTATAAAAAAATTTTTTTAAACTAACAAAATTTCTATTTTTATATACTAGATTTTAATTTTACTTGAGTTACAACAAAAACTGTACAAACAATTCATCAAGATAAGGAATTTTCCTCATCAAAGAAGTCTCAGATTGGCTAGCTTTCTAGACACAAGACTGCTTGACCCATCTGCCTAGTTTTGTATGCAAAACAATTACCTTATCAGTTGCTAGCTTACTACACAAAAATGTCATGGCTAATGGAACACTACCACAAAGTTTGTTGCATGACGCATTCCTAACCCTTTTCAAATATAAGAAGCAGTACTATACAGGGATGTTACAAAAACACTGGACCTTCTGGAGACACGAAGGCCAGGATATCCACTAAGTAAGGAGTTATCAAGTGACATGTAACAGGTTTATCGTCCTGTCACCAAGCAACACAACTCCTAGAGCTACGTAAGCCCTCCTGGCATGGCAAACGACAAAGTCTTCCTCCTCATACTTAATACTAGTTGAAGACAGACCTTCTACACTATTGCAAGACATAATTTGGCATCTATCACATACGCTTCATAATATGGTTAAATGGAAACTTCCATACTTTTATATCTTTAATTATGTCTGAGTGCCTTACAAACAGCACTGACTTTGCTGCTTAATGTGAATCGTTTCTTGTCATTTTTCTCCATAGCTAAACAAATCTAGGGCAAACAAAAGTGCGAGACAGGAAAGGATATGGAAAATGACAGGAAAGAAATACTTTCTTCTTACCCTTAGGATTTCAGAGACATCTCATTAGCTTATTCAGAAACAATATTAATATTTGTACTATTTCCATTCCCCTCCCTTAATCTGTGGTTTAATCTGTGTTTATATAAAAGAGGTAGACAGGATCAGCAGTCATCTCATTATCTTTAAGAAAAAAAGGCCCAGAAATGAGGTAAAAAAAAAAAAAAAAAGGCCCAGATAAATTAATGGCAGCGCAGGGAATGGAATACAGAGATCCTAACAAAGTCAGTGGTTTGTACAGTACTTCATTTTAAAACCAAATTACCATATTCTTCTGAAAAACTACCAAGCTCAACTTAGTGGGTAAGGAAGGGTAAAAAAGAAATACGTTCATTCCAATTTCATAAACCGAAAGAGATCAGACTGCATCCTTAGAGGAGAGGACAGGAAATGAACTGATGGTGCTCAGATACACTGATGATTGTGAGAAGCAACAGCTTCTCAGAGCCTACTCATTTCTATTCAGAAACATTCTATTGATGGCTATCTGGTAGGGAGAGGGGGTATGTGAAAAATCTCTGTGTCTTCCTCTCAATTTTGCTGTAAACCTAAAACTACTCTAAAAAATATAAAGCCTTAATAAAAAAAAGAAACCACACTCTATTAATATAGAAATGATATGGCAGTCAGGAAGTCTAACTACTAATCAATCACTGCCTCTCTCTTTCATTTCCTACCTCTCCCCACCAAAAACCACAACTGCTTCCTGTTTTCAAGAACAACTACAAATTGCATACATTTTTAATGCATAAATAAGAGAGCAAAATTCTTTCAGGCTTTGAACTCTTTCCTTCCAGGATCTATCAAAGTATCTTGTACTTAGCAATATTCTCAACAACTGTTTGCTAAATAGATGAATGGTAACAGGTGGCATGTCCTCCTTGATCATTTAAGACTAAGACCAAGGGCCTAAAGATTTGATGTCACATGATAGTCCTACCATCTTACTTTCTAGCAATCATAGGCACGTGCAACCAGAGATAACCTTTTCCTGTCCTGTAAAGCAGAGCTTACAGTCTTAAGCTTCATTGCTTAAGACTGAAATATTAAAATGATTAAAATATCAAGTTTATAGCTCGAAAGTTCTACACTAAATTCCATACCAAGCTAAACCTGAACCTACACTAGTATAGCTATATGCATATATAGCCACATTATATATATATATATGTATAAAATACACACTCACATGTACCATTTACTGAATGCCAACTGTAGAGCTAAATGCTTTAGAAGCATAATCTCATTTGCACAGTTTTTCAGGACATTTTCACTTTACAAATAAGAAAATAAGGCTAAAATATTAGACCACCTGCCTAAAGTCACGTAACTAGTCAGTGGCAGCACTGAGTCTTAAACCAAAACTTATTCACTTACACTGAACTACCGGATGAACTAGGAGGAAACAGAAGCTCTAAGGGAGAGAAAAGTTAGAGTAGGAGAAAGTAGCAGAGGGTCCCATGATGGTAGAGTTTTGGAACTTCTGTTACAGAGGGTTTCCCCAAAACTGGCCTGAGTCCAGAACCAGCATCCAATTCGGGAGTTGGAGGGACAAAACCATACCACACCACAATTCCCATTCTTAACTTTCCACAAGATTCCCTCTTCCTCCTAGCCATGGACTGCACTAATTTGAGTGTGTCACTACTTCTGGTAAACCAAAAAGCATACACTTCAGACACTGATGCCTCACTGTAAGAATAATGGCTATCGTGGCTATAAGGATATTTCAAAGTAACCAGATTTTTTCTCAAATTAGAAGAGATTAAATAAAAGCAATAAACTTACAGCTAATCTTCCCTACTCATTCATTAAATGCAGTTCCCTCAAGACCTACACTAGGACCAGTGCCAAACACAAAATAAGCACTCAGTGAATAATTACTCATCAATTAACCTGGGAATTAATTGTCAAAATCAGAGAAATGGACTAGACGATAAAGTTAATTTCAACTGGAATGAATTCAGAATTATGTGAGGAAGAGAAATTTGCCTTGATTATTTCAAATTGTCATACTTAAACAATGTACTTTAAAAATCATCTGGAGTCACATAGTCATAAATAGTCCTGCTGAATTCAAAGATTATCTAAAAAAAAAAGATTTGCAACATGTTTATTGAAACCACAAACAAGCTCTTGGTTTCTGGGAATATTTTTCTTCAACAACTGTACAGTTACTTTTAAAAAGATGCTTTGTAATTTCACAACAAAGAGATTCAGCTTTTCAAATTTCAACAAAAGCATTTATAATGACCATCAGTTACTGTTGTTTAATAATCATGTTTAATCAACTGTGCCTGATTGTATACAATTATGACCAACGTATGAAGACTTGTTTGTTCACCCAGCTTGACTGTAGGCACTCCTAAGAGATGCTCCCATAGGAAAATATTTGGTTTGCTAGTGAGAAGATGATAATTAAGAGAAACACTAATTATCTTGATTTTGAGAAATTACAAGTTATCTCCTATATTGGGCACACACTCAGTAGAAATTTCTATGTAAAATGTGTATTTCTCCTAGGGCTCTGGATGAAGGAGGGGTGGGGAAACACACTTACTTTTACTACCCAGATAGGAAGAAGTCATCAGCCCTTCTAGTCATTTATGAATGTGTCTTTTTACAATGTTCAAAGATAACTACCTTCAAAACATTAGTGTTTTTCAATTTCCTGAATATGCTGCTTAATGAACAGATTAATGTTCTTACATATAACCTCACTATGTAGACTGAACTTAAACTAACAAATACCAAGCAAAAAACAAGTATTTTTAGAATCTTTTACACAGCAGGTCTTCTAATAACATTGTTTAGTTCAATGTCATTTTATTCAATGCCAATGTCGTTTAGTTATAAGGCTGGTGAAGAAAAAAATTGGTTTTGTAGTAAGTCTTTTCACTTAAAGTCACAGCTTCCAAGAACCTATCAATGCCATTAAGTAAGGACTAATGATACTATACTTTTTATCATTATTTTAGAATGTATTCCTTCTACTTATAAAAGAAAAAGTCTACTACAAAACAGGCCTCAGACAGGTCCTTTAAGAGATATTCCAGATGGAGGCATGGTTATCACAGGAGATGACAGCTCCAGACATGTTATCGCCCTTGACAACCTTCCAGTAGAACCGGACAGGGAGGTCAGAGACAGTGACTTTGATGATCCTGACTCTGTACAGATTTAGGCTAAGTACACTTCCATCTTAGTTTTTAACACAGGTTAAAAAGAAAAACTTAAATTTTAAAAATAGAAAAAGCTTATAGAATAAAGCTATAAAGAAAATATTTTCATACAGCTATACAATGTGTTTTAAGCTAAGTGTTATTACAAAAGAGTCGAAAAGTTAAAAAATTAAAAACTTTATAAAGTAAAAAAGTTACAGTAAGCTAAGGTTAATTTATTATTGAACAAAAATACTTTTTTATAAATTTAATGTGTAGTGTTTATAAAGTCTGCAGTAGTGTATAGTAATGTCCTAGACCTTCACATTCACCTCCTACTGACCCACCCAGAGCAACTTCCAACCCTGTAAGCTCCATTCCTCGTAAGTGTGCTATGCAGGTGTATCATTTTTCATCTTTTACATCATCAGTCCCTAACCTTTTTGGCACCAGAGAGTCGTTACATGGAAGACAATTTTTCCACAGACCAGGGGGGTAGAGGGATAGCAAGCGATGGGGAGCGGCTATAAATATAGATGGAGCTTCTTTCGCTTGCCTGTCGCCCTTCCTGCTGTGTGGTCCAGTTCCTAACAGACCATGGACTGGTACCAGTCCTTGGCCTGGGAGTTGGGGACTGCAGATTTAGACTGTATTTTTACTTTACCTTTTCTATGTTTAGATATGCTGAGATTCATAAATACTATTGTGTTATAATTGTCAATGGCACCCAGTACAGTACCATGCTGTATAGGTTTGTAGCCTAGGAGCAAATAGGCTATACTTTATATCCTAGAGGTGTAGTAGGTTATACCATCTAGGTTTGTGTAAGTATATTCTATGATGTTCGCACAAGGACAAAATCACCTAAGGACACATTTCTCAGACCATATCCTCACCGTTAATTGATGCATGACTGTATCATTAGGCAAACAAGCTTAATGTATAAGAACATAAACATTAAAATCATAACTTAAAATATTTAGCATAAATATAGGCCAAGCATCCCTTATCTGAGATGCTTGGAATCAGAAGCATTTCAGATTTTTTTGGATTTTGGAATATTTGCAGCATACTTTCCAGTTGAGCATTCTAAATATGAAAATCTGAATTCATGCCTGAATGAGCATGTCCTTTGAGTGTCATGTCAGCTCAGAAACTTTCAAATTTTGGAGCATTTCAGATTTTTGGATTTAAGATGCTCAACCTGTAATTTCAACAAAAGATTTGCCCCAAAAAACTTGCATAACACTGACTAAATGTCCAATGTGTGATGTGACAACTACTTAAAAAAAAAAAGGCTAAATAATGACTTAGTTGACTATATTTCAGCTTTGCATTCAATATAAAGATAATTTACCCTCACCTTTAATCATGACTTACCAAACAGGTTACACAAAAAGCAAAATTATTTCTACTAAATTAAATGTCTTACCTGCTACCCTCATGTTTGATTTTTCAGTCTACGGTGCTTTTCATTAAATATGCTCCTAAAAAATCAAAAGAAAAGGCAAACATCATTAGGTCTAGAATGAAAATTCCTTCTTAGAGTTTGATTTGGAGTGTGTATATTAAACTAATTAAATAAATGTTATGACATTTCTAAGTATACCAATACTGACATTTAATTAAAGAAACTCTTATCAGTGGGCCTGTCTCCTTCCACTGGATCCTACAACCTCAAGAGAAGGGTCTGTGTCTTATCTTCCTGGGTCCCTAACTCCCTAACTGAATGAACAAAGAGTAAAAACCTGCCATCAAGCTTGTAAATAGACGATAACACCTTATTATATTCAGTGATTATGCATCTATAAGGAACTTTTGATACTTAGTTCTAAATTATCAGTTTGCAGATGAGGTCCAAAGAAATTAAGCTACGTATCTAGTTCTAAAACAAATTATTTGCATAGAAATGGTGCTAAATGTAGGTTGGCTGACTTACTCTAGTATGCGATGCCACTTCATTTTTGATACAACGCAATTGAAGTGTCACTACAATAAGCATTCACAGCAAAGGCTTATTTTATTACCAGAGACCTCTTCCTTTTCTTGTTTTGCAATTTAAGCTTATAAAATAATATATTCAAAAGCATAGAAGTGAAATTTTAAATATCCTGGCAATTAACATTATTGACAGAGTAATTTTTTTTTTTTTAAACAGGATCTCACTCCATTGCCCAGGCTAGAGTGCAGTGGCATCAGCCTAGCTCACAGCAACCTTAGACTCCTGGGCTCAAGCGATCCTCCTGCCTCAGCCTCCTGAGTAGCTGGGACTACAGGTGCACACCACCACGTCCAGCTGATTTTTCTATGTTTTGTAGAGATGGGGGTCTCAATATGTTGCTCAGGCTGGTTTTGAACTCCAGGCTTCAAGGAATCCTCCCTCCTCAGCCTTCCAAAGTGCTACGATTACAGGTGTGAGCCACTTCATCTAGCTGACAGAGTCATGTTAATATATCAAATAAAGAAACTATTCTTTGATATTATTTTAATATCAATAAGAAACAAATGCTGGGAAAAAAATCTGTATGTGTATGTTTCCTTCCTAATAATAATTCAAGATAGGCAAATTTTTTCTTTTCTTTTCTTTTTTTGAAAAAAGGTCTTGCTCAGTTGCCTGGGCTAGAGTGCAGTGGCTTCATCAAGATAGGTAAAATTTTTTAAAGGAAATGGAAAAATAAGGAGTTTGATAGGAGAGCCATACCCAAGTTTAGGTGGACAGTGTTCATAGTCAACCCGACTTATTGTAAAGGAATGGAATTCAAAAGAAAATTTTAATTAATGAGTCACATTAACCAGCAATACATATTTCTCTATTTTAGACTGTGTTTTCACACTTATGTTTTAATGTCATTGTCTAATCTAGGAATTCACAGAACACTTCAAATAAAAATAATGGCACACCCATGAAGGACACTGAAAAGTGAGATATTCAGTTTTCTTACTCATTGGAATAGTCAGGGGGGCTAGAAGGGAGTGGGCATTGGACAGCATTCAAAGGTCCAATGCTCATAATATGCTAGCTCCCCTTCTTCAACACAATCTACCTAAAGAAAAAAGAACACTTAAACTGAATTGAGTATTATTGATTTCTTTCCCTTTGTTAATTATCTGAACACCTTCCACAAAACAGGAAAGTCAATGTTATATATCAGCTTAAACTACTCAGCCACAGGCTAGGAAAATACTAGAAGGAAACAGGAGATACTGAAGTATTTACAAACCATCACATAAAAACCAAAAAGCAAAAAAAAAAAAAAAAAAAAAAAAAAACCTTTAGGGGTTTTCATTTGAAAAGCTGAGGTTATAAATCCTCTTTGGCTTCCAGCAAAATTGAACTCTGCTTTCACAACACACACATGCCTTTCCTCCTAGCTAATATTCCAAAATAACCTTACTCTTATCTGAGTGTGGCCTAGGAAAATTTACTTGAAAGTGTGATAAGCAGCTGTGCACCAGATACTTGCTATTCTATTTCCCTGTTTCCATTCCCTGCTGAGGTCACATCTGTATAATGAGAGTCACTGCCTCATATACCTGCCACCTGTTTGTAACTCCCAACAAGCCTGTTTCTAAACTCATCACTACTAAGCCCACAATATAAACAACTATAATTGTCTAGCAGAATACAATTGTTTCCTATTAAAATTTCTCAGAGAATTAACCTTAGTAAAATCTCTAAATTAAAATCTCATCAAACTACATCTCAGCCATAACACACCTTTAATTAATTTGCTTAAGAAGCAAATTAATGATGCAAGAGTATAAATCAGCATAAAGAAGGCATACTGAATATATTTGAGAGCAAATCAAAGAGCATCTATTTATAATAATGATGTGCTAATTCTAAATCATTCCTGACTTGTCTTCTTAGGAGGACATTTAAAGACAATCTTTATATATAATAATCTTGGGGAGGAATAAAAAACATAATAGAAACCTCAGACTGAACCACCAACAATCAAATGGGGATACAACAGGTCCAGAGCAAATGAACACAAAAGGAGGAAGAGACCTTTGCTATTAATTCAGAACTCTAAATCTAGAGGCAACAGGTGAAAAGTTTTACAACATTTTCATATATTTATTAAAAGGTAGAAAAACAGAAAGCAGAGCCAGTTACTAAAACCAGAACATTAGTGGAGGATATTTTTAGGACAGATTAAAGAAACAAAAAATTCAGACAGTACATTCATGAACTATTAACACATTTGCTTCCATAAGTGTCATATAGGCCAGTAAGTTTCAGTGTTTTACATAAATATATAAATGACTGAACCAAATCAGATTGTTAATAGGTAAGGTACATAATCATTGGAGAATCAACAGGTAAGAGGGCCACCATGATGCCCCTGGGCAAAAGAGCAACAAACTGGATAAACGTATGTAATCTAGACTGAAAAAGAGAGCCTAAATTAGTACCTCAGATGGACATATCGAATTTCATTAAAGGTTTTATAATTTAATTTAATCATTTCCTTTGGCCCAACTATCTACTTTGCTCTGACTTAGTGAAATTTTGTTAGTCAAGTAGAAATCAGGCTATGCTGTGAATAAGGAGGCATTCTTCTAAAATCAATTAACTTCAGGAACAAGAGAGCAAAGTCAAGTGACACTTCCATACTTTCCTTGAGAAGTGGACTAAATCAGGTGAATTATAAGAACATCACTCTATATCATAAGTCATGCAAACAATTGTTTACTATGAGGAGGATGTCTTGCCAGTTAACTAGGTAATGTATACATATAGCAGGGCAATTCACACACATTCTTATTTTATGTAATCTCCTCACCACCTCACCAGCCCTCAAGCTGTAGTGAGTATTATAACAGAATTATAGATGTCAGGGGATCTGTCCAAGGTCATATGAAGGGTAAGAAGCACATACTACAAACAAATCCACTTCCTTTTCATTTCAGCTGCCTACTAACATACTCTACAACAAGAGGCTTATTGACAAAATGCCATGCCAATCAATTTTGCTTTTGCAAATTGCCCTAGGAACTGCTAATCTCTGCTGCAAACTAGCCACTCCAGAGATTTGAAAGTTTATCAAAATAACTAAGCCTGTGTTAGACGCTGCACCAACAGAAATGACACAAGAAAATGAAGCATACAAATATACCCGTTGATATACATATTTAATATTGACAACTAAACTAGAAGAAAATACTACAAGTTATGTTCCACAAATATAAAGAAATTATCACTCAATTCAATCCAACTTCAATTCAGTGCTGGCCAAATGACAATTTTAAGTAAACCAACTAAGTTTAGATGATTCCAATAATCATGGGAACTGGGGCTTTTCGAGAGGACTAAGATAAAAGGTCAAAATGCAAACAGATAGATATAAAGTACACTTAGGCCCCACGATGGTTAATTTTATGTATCAACTGGACTGGGCCACAGGATGCCTATATATTTAGTTAAACCTTATTCTGGAAACCCAGAATAATGTCTATAATAGTGCTTCTGGAGGAGATAAACATTTGAATATATAAACTAAGTATAGCAGATTGCCCTGTCCAATGTGGGTGGGTCTTATCCAATCCATTGGAGACCTGAATAGAACAAAAAAGGTTGAGTAAGGATTTGTTCTCTTTGCCTGTCTTCAAGCTGGGACAATGACTTAGGACACAAACTGGAACTACACCATCCTGCTCCTGGGCTGCCAACTTGTCAAATGCAGATCCTGGACCTCTCAGCCTCTCTAACCACATGATCCAATCCCTTATAACAATTTATATATATATGTATAAAATATGATAAGTTATATGTTTATAAAGAGCTAGATTTATCTATATGTAATTTATCATAAGGAATATATGTCTATATACATAAAGGTAGATTTATTAATATCTATCTATTCTATTGGCTCTGTTTCTCTAGAGAACCCAGACTAATACAGACCCACCAAGATCAGAATGTAGACAATTAAATTTTTATCCCCAGAGCACTGAAAGTAAAAGACGAAAATGAAATAATACTGAAATCAAAAGAATGTTACAACTAGAAGTCAATCGGGTAAGTTACTCTGATGTTATATTTACAAACAAAAGTATGATCTTTTTTTTAAAAAAAAAAAAAAAGCTATTTGCAATGAATAACTGCATTTGTGTGTATAAAATAGAGCAAGTGTTGGCAAACCTTTCCTGTGAAAGGGCCAAATGGTAAATATTTTTAGGTTTTGTGAATCTCTACTGCAATGATTCCACTCTGCAGTTGTAGCTAGAAAGCAACCACAGACAATATGTAAATGATGGGTCCAACTGTGTTCTAATAAAATTTTATTTGTGGACACTGAAATTTGAATTTCATGAAATTTTCATGTGTCACAAAATGTTTTTTCCAACCCACCTGAAAATGTGAAAGCCAATCTTGGCTTGTGGGCCACATATGCCTATGTGTCATAATTTGTCAACCCTTAAGATAGAAGAATAAAAAATATAAATTTTAAAAATGTAAAAACAAAGGAATAAGCTGGGCA